CGACCCACTTGTATTTATCTCCAATAACATAGTTACAAGAAAGACCATATTGTCCCTCATAAGTGATGGGGCACATAACTTAAACTTAAACAAAATAGACCTTTCACTCTCAAATAGATAAACCCAAATGACCAAAATACCCCTGTTTTGTGTACTCTAGCATGAACAATATGAATTTGGATCTGATGAAATCCCATAATTATTGGTAAAAGAGATAGGCCATCAGGTCCAGGCGCTTTAGTGCCCCCATGGAGAAGATTAACTCCTTTGATTTCATCCTCTATGGGTTTGTCTTTGTCATAGAGTATAGTTGTCATCTTTAGTGATGGGGGAATAACCAAAGAGCTCACTCAGATTAGAGTGAGACAGACATCTGTGAGCTGGTGATATCATGTTGTTTCTTAGATACAATGGTTTGATTATTGATATGCCCTTTGTCACTTGTATTCTCATTCAAGAAGTAGAAGCTAGGTTTAGAAATATGGTGTCTATTCTCAATTTCCATTTAATGATAATGACAAATTATTGATTTTATTGTTTCTGATATGCAGGTATACCGCAGTGCATTGAGACTTGTGAGGTCTATGGTTAGTATTGATCTTTCATATTACATCATAGACTTGCATGTATTTTTCATTTGTCATCGAAGTCCAAATATATTCCATATGGTGAAATGTTATATGAAGAGAGTAGAATGCTTAGCATGTGATTATATGTACAACAGACATTTAAACAATGTCACTTTTCCATTCATCACAGCTTCACAGTTACTAACTTTTCATGTATTTATGGATGTCCAGCGTGTAAACCTCTGGAAGGCTGGCTTGTAAACATGGCCATATAAAACATTGCATAGCATAAGAATTATAAAAAGAAAGAAAAAAAAGGAAAACATTGAGGCTTCAAGAAAAACTTGGAAAATCAAACCATTGGCATCTTAGTAGATTTATCCTTTATGGGGTCTTGGGAGGGGAACACTGGATATAAACCTAACCTTTGTCATTTTTTGCACAAAGTAGCCACTCTCAGAGTTGAGCCTATGTTTTCACACGTGTATTGCACCAAGCAATGGTCCTTATGTGTCCTAATTCCTAAACATATGGTCCAGGATGTCTTTTTTAGGTTCATTGGGTTTATAATGTTTTCTATTTCAGCTTGCCTGATAGTTTTTTCCTTTGCATTAAGTTACAGGTTTTACAGCTCATAAAGCTGCTTTAAACTGAATCTATTACCAGAATAGCCAGTTAAGATGGATGATGTAGAGTATGGATGTTCTTGGGTAATACTCTACAACGAGTGGAGGTGTTGCAAGAAAAATTTGTTTTCTGTTTGAGCTTGCCTGATAGTTTTTTCCTTTGCATTAAAAGTTATAGGTTTTACAGCTCATAAAGCTGCTTTAAACTGAATCTATTACCAGAATAGCCAGTTAAGATGGATGATGTTAGAGTATGGATGTTCTTGGGTAATACTCTACAACGAGTTGAGGTGTTGCAAGAAAAATTTGTTTTGCAACTTATTGATTTAGTCAGTTGTTGACTAGTTTTTGAAGTGAAAATCTGACCTGATGAGAGCATAGATAATTTGGCAACCCACATGAAAAATGATTGTGTTCTTTTTTCTTTCAAGAATTATGATGCCATTTAGTTGGTTGTTGGTTGGTTGATGCAGTTATTTTTCTTTATATATTTTATTATGACAATTTCTTTCTTGACAGCTACCTCTGCCCTATCTTAAGGTCGGATATCTGACAGCACCACCTGCAGGGAACCCACTTGCACCTCATAGTGATTGGAAGGAATCACAGTTTGTACTGAACCATGAAGGACTCCTGCAGGTAGGATTCATCTTTTTTAATTACAAAATGTATTTAAAACTGCACAAGATATTGAACCATTTTCTCGGCAGTACATAGTTCATTGGTTTGACTGTCCCATTCAAATTGATTGGTTGTGGAATCAGCTGATGTCATAATTGATTAAAAACAAGGAAATTTGGGAAAACATTGGAAAATAAGAGTAGGAAATTCTTGAACCCCAAGTTCTGGTTGGTGTGATGGCCGTGGACTGTATGAGTGGTTTTAACACCTATGTTACTCAGATATACCAAGGACATGGCTGGAGAAGGTGTCAGACATGAAATTTACACTTAAAATGAAGTATCCTACATGATATGACACTCTTGTACAGATATATTGGTATCATAGGTGTACATGCATACACACACAAATAATGAAGAAAATCCTTTATTCAGAGTAACTTCATTACACCACCCCATCTTCATTTTGTAGACCAAATACCTACTTAAGGACATTCCTAGACAAATTAAACTCTTAAAAACACAAATCTTATCCTAATGTGGCACCATTTTCTAACTTAGGGCTCCCACCTCACATTCAAGTATTTTTGGTAGGTTTTATAACCGTCTTGATTAAACTAATTCAAGTCTAAATATAAAGCACCCTTGTAAAAAAAAAGGAAGAAGACTAGAAATGACGTTGTATTTGTGAGAAGGAAAAAAATTGGAAGCCTCATCATTATTGAGACTTCTTGGACATTGCATTTATCTGTAAATGAAGTATTTTCCCTATCCCTTACGAAAACATCCATTTCCTTATCCAAAATTGTGCCATGCTAGTGAAACAATCAGTAGTGACAGACGCAATCCCATAAAGCACAAAACCTCAGAATACTAAAAACAAGGTGTATATACTAATGTGTAGAAATTTGGACGACTACTCTTTTATCCTTTTATGCTTTACAGGGATGTATTTCCACCTGTAATTGAAAAGGTGTGCCTAGGCGTATAGGTGAGGTGTATTTCAAGGCTTGCATCTCACCTAGGCCCAGGTGTAGTCCCTTTAGAAAGGTGTATGCCTGGCATGCTTCTTGTGCCTCAGCCTAGGTGGGCACCTTTGTAAAACTTTGCACTTCTTATAGTTTTTTAAGCATGGCGGTTGGGCTGGGGGCTCCTCCCCCAAACCCTTGACCAAGCCCCTTGTGTGAGCATACCGGAGCTCCAAGAGTGCCCTTTTCACTAATATTTTTCATTTCACTATACTTTTATATATTGAGTGGATCCTGCTGTTGCTACTCGAAATGACACACTAACAATCTGCTAGCATATGAAAAAATAGAGATTGCTTTTAGGGTCTACTACCTTACCATGAGAATTTAGAAATATCAAGGTAGCCTAACTGCCTAACATGTTGAGTGATTAGTTTGAACAACCTTGACACTTTCATGCAACCCTCCAATAAAACACAAACATGCTATTAACTAAATCACCCAAGTGAATTCATGCCCAAGTGACTTGGTTTCGATGAGTTTGCATGGTCACAACACTTTCTTGCAACCCTACAATAAAACACAGACATGTTAATAATCAAATGAAAAATCAAATCAGCCAATGAGTGTGCCTTTTTCCTACCCCAAATGATACAAAAATTACCCACTGACGTACGAAAAAATAAAGACCATCTCTAAGGTCTAGGCCTACTACCTTATTATGACAATCAAGAAAGGGGGGCCTTGCACCTGAGGCATATGCCTCAGAGGTATTAACGTCTCTGGCATATGCCCCAGGTGTAGAGTGATGACATGCCTAGGCGATAAGGCACTCATGGAGGATCACCTCAATCACTAAGATATTTTTTTCTCACAGTACTTTCTGAGGTTATAATAATAAAACAGACATTATTAAACTAAATTATTCACTGAGTTAAAATATTAGTTTACTTTTGTTATTTTTCTTATTTGTTAGGGTTCAATCAAGATAGATATTGTCTTGAACCCTTGAAGACTTCAAAACCTGAGCTAATATGCATGGAAAAACTCAAAATTGTGAGTTTTTTCATCCTTTCTTTCTTCTCTTCTTTTCTTAGGACAAAAATAGATGCTCAGCCCTCAATTTTCTGAAATCTTCTCTTTCTTCCGTTTTTTAATGAATATGTTGATTTTTATGCTTTAAATGAAGTTTATGCATTTTTTATGAAGATCATAGACATCTAATAGTGAAAGATGGTTGCTGCTTGCTAAACCTAGGGAATTACCCTAGGATATATGGTTCGCATTCAAAATAAATCCCATGCCTAGGTGACTAGGCAACAAGGTGCCCCCCCCCCCCCCTCCATTGCTTAGCATCACCTCGGCACCGTGAAAACCATGGAACTCTTGCTGTTATGGTAAACAACAAAGAGATATTATCACTTGTTCACTTACTAGGTGGGAGATGTGGAAAAAATGAAGAAAAATTCCTAGCAAGAATAAGAATTTACTAAACCGAACTTTATTTCATCAAATATGGGGGAAGGGGAAGTTGGTGACTGTGCAGACATTTTGGGGTGTGTAGTATGTAACTGGCCCTTAAACTACCTTGGTTTGCCATTGGGAGATAATCCTCAGAGAGATGAATTTTAGGTTCTGGTTATGGAAAGGTTTGAAAAGAGACTTACGAAGTGGAAGAAAAATTATTTGTCTCTTGGAGGGAGAATCATCTTAATTAGGTCTACATTAGCTAACCTTCCTGTCTATTTTTTGTCAGTCTTTAAGATTCCGATAAGGGTGGCTAGTAGGTTGAAAAAACTTATGAGAGATTTTCTATGGGAGCCAGGGGAGGAGAAGAAGGGCCATAGGGTTAGGTGGGAGATGGTGTGTAGGAGTAAGAAGGAGGGTGGTTTGGGAATTGGGAACATAAGGAATAGGAACTTAGCATTATTAGGGAAATGGCTATGGAGATTTTCATTGGAGAAAGAAAAGCTTTGGGTAAAGATAGTGCGAAGTATTCATGGAGTGGCAGACAATGGATGGGACTTTGGGATTCTAGCAAGGACTACAAGAGCATCTCCTTGGAAAGCTATTCAAGCTACTTTGCCTGTGTTCTCTCCCTGGATCAGGTATGACTTGCACTCAGGCAACCTAATTAAATTCCGGGAACATGTTTGGGTTGGGGATTTCCCTTTGAAAGATCAATTTCCAACTATTTTTGCTATCTCTACCCTTAAAAATGAACTAGTTTCCTCCTTCCTTGTACCTTCTAAATCACCTTCTGGATTCGGTTGGAACCTGGGGTTGAGAAGAGATATGAGGGTCACAGAATTAGGTTGTATTTCAGCTTTATTATCCATCCTTGAAGGGATCTTCCTAGAGCCAACAAAGGAAGACAATAGAATTTGGACACTCACTCCCTTGGGCTCCTACACCTGTGCCTCTTTCTTCAAAGCCCTGATACAGCCTTCTTCTGTTGGACTGTCATTCCCTGTTAAAGAAATGTGGTGTCAACCTATACCTTCGAAGGTTGGGAGTTTTTGTTGGGAAGCCTTTCTGGAAAGAGTTAATAAAGGAGATTTACTTCAAAGAAAAAGACCCAATAGCTGTTTGTCTCCTCATTGATGTGTTCTCTGTAAATTTGATGGTGAGTCTAGATACCATTTACTAATTTCTTGTCAGTTTGCTAAAGCTATTTGGGAATGGTTTACTTATTTGTTTGGGTGCAGGGTGGACTCCCCCTTTGAAAGTGCAAAGCTTATTCACTTCCATGCCCAGCTCAACAAAAAGGGCAAAGGTTATGTGGAGATGTGTAAGGGCTGCAGTTTGTTGGACTGTTTGGGAGGAGAGAAATTCGCGGATTTTTCTAGACAAAGAGAGAATCTTGGAAGTAATATTGGAGATTATTCACATTAGGGTGATACATTGGTTAAAAACTTTGGAATTGTTTGCTGAGTTCTCAGTTGATGAGATGCTAAGGAATTGGAAGGAAATTGCAGAATCAACTTCAGTTAAGAAAGCTTCAAGTTCTTATTGGACCCCTCCACCAAGCGGGTTTATCAAACTGAACTTTGATGGCAGTAGTTTGGGCAATCCAGGGCCCTCTGGAATAGGGGGAGCGATAAGAGATGAAAAAGGGAATCTGTTAGCTATGTATTCTGGCCCAATTGGGGTGGGAGACTCCTTGAGGGCTGAGATATTAGGAGCTCTTGAAGGCGTACAAAGGGTCAAAGACATGCATGTTAAGAAATTGATCATAGAAGGTGATTCTGAAATTGTAGTGAACTGGTTAAAAGAGGACAAATCCAAGCTCTGGAACTACAACAATGAAAAGAGGAAATTTAAGTGGCTGAGTAAGGACATGGAAGTTAGTTGTACATGGGTAAAGAGAAGTGCAAACTCATTGGCAGATGGCTTAGCTAGGCAAGGGGTGAACAGAAACTCTATTTTTTGGGCTGTTTTGTAATTGTTTACGGTTGGGTGTACATTGATGTATTAGGGAGTGTAGTTTTTTTAGCTCCTTATTTATGTACTTTCTCAATCTTTAATAAAATTCACTGTTATTGATCAAAAAGAAAAAAGAAAATTCACTGGCAAGGGATCTATTAATAGACTCATCTTATGAACTCCGACATCCCTATATAAACTCCAACTTGGACTAGGAAACTGACCCAATGTTTGTCCTGGTTATCATTGGTATTTGTAGCATTTTTAGCATGAAGTGACCACCCTCAGTCTTCAACCCGCATTCATATGTTTGTCATCCCAAAGTTTTATCAATGACCTAAAGATGTGCGATTTGATTGAGGACATGCTCTTGACAGAGAACATGCTATTGAGTTGAGTTTACCTGGAAGTAGGAGACTATAAGGAAGTAGCGGAGGGTGGGTGAGTTGAGGGAGATATGAAATTTAGAAATGTTGTATATTTTATGTATTAGGCTTATAAAGAATCAAATTGGTATTGTCAAAACATCTAGATACTGATGTTTGTAGGTTATCTTACGAGTTACGAGTACCGTTACGTGCACAATAACTCAGGAAAAATTTGCTTATGTCGACGTTTTTTACAAGCAGTATCTTGCAGTGACAGACTATATTGTTTTGGTGTCATTTAGATACCTGGACTATACAAAGCCTTTTGAATTGCCTTGGTATCTGAGTGATTGCACAACAATAGTATACTTTATGATACTGTTCCACCCGTTTTACCTTTTGCAAACAATTAGACCTCATAAGTAATTGCAAGATTTTATTGATCAAAAAAAAAAAAAAGTAATTGCAAGATTTAATTAGGCCCTTGTATGACTGCATTGTAGTTGCAAAATTTATGTTCTATTAATGAAACTTTATTTCTGTTTATGCAGCTTGACAAACTTGATCAAAAACAATCACCACCAAACCTCTCTGACAGGTCTGGAGGTGCAGTGAACAATAAATCAACTACCAAAGTTGATGTTGCAGATATCATCTCTGTATCAGCATGTGCAGATCTTACATTACCACCTGGTGCTGGACTCTGTATTGATACAATTCATGGACCGGTATATTTGGTAAGCATCTCCTGCCAAACCATTGGGGAACTCCCTTTATATGTATGGGTATGTAGAAATTGTTCTTAGCCATGTAGATACTGTATAAATATCTCATTATGCTTAACTCAGTACTGGTTCGGCTTGTTAGCTAATTACAGGATAATCATAGAGGAGAAATGCACACATTGTTTTTCTTCAGATTAAAAATCAAAGGAAAAAGCATCTGATTTTTCTGTCACTGAGAATTAAGATGCAGCATACTATTATGGAAGTTGAATGGCGATGTCAAAACTTATTGTGTAGTTTTGAGGATGCTACTTTGGTGAAACGAGGATATACTTGAACCTAATCAATCCATGTGTGATTTATAGTAGTATATTTCCGCGCTTTATTTGTTTGTCCACCACTATTAGTTAGTAAAAGCCTAAATACTTGGTATTGACAGGTTTTGCCAATGAGGTAATTAGTGTTGGGTTTGTAGTTGGGAAGTAAAATAATCTTTTCCAATAAAGTTATTCATGAGACTTCAGTAAAATAGAATGAATGGTGCATTAGTTCTATTAATTCTGAGGTTTATTCATTGCGAATTCGGATTAGCTGGACGCATTAACTGTGTAGCGAGTTCACATCTGCGCCCCACAAGGGGGTGCCCCACAACGTCCCACAGCACATCCCCGCCGTGCATTGGGAACATCTCCCAATGATAGTACCAGTCTCGATGATATCATCATTGGGAGATGTGGGGCGCCCCCTTGTGAGGCGCCCCCTTGTGAGGCGCCCCCTTGTGGGGCACAGATCTCCTGTGTAGCGGGCTGTGGAACCAAGGATAATGCCCCATGCCAGTGAGCAGTGATCAATTACATGGGCCCATAGTGAAAGGTCGAATGGTGTGAGCCCCATGTATTTTATGACTGGTGTGGAGCGTTATTGTTGGTTCCACAGCACGCTGAACAGCTAGACCTATCTCATTTGGTGCACAATGTGGAAATTTTCTTGCACACACACACATCTATCCATTTTTGTTCCTCTTTTTAGTAATCTCTACTTTATTTCCTCAGGTCTCCGACACATGGGAGTCACTGGATGGGTGGCTTGATGCTATTCGTCTTGTTTACACAATCTATGCGCGAGGGAAGAGCGATGTGTTAGCAGGCATCATAACTGGCTGATTATCTATCCATTTAATTAGATGCCAACGGCAGTGGTTTGTGCAAATAAAATTTTTGTATGAAACAGAAGTTACTGAACTCCAAAGCCAGAAGAAAATGAAAATATAACCACTATACCGGGGAAGCAGAATGGTATTTAAGCTAGATTTTCTTGCAGAGTTTTTGATATGGTATTGGTATGGATAAAATGAGCTAACCATCAAGCAGAACAGTGGTTTTGTTTGACCTTGTATATTTGAACATGTGCACACATGGATGCAATCATAATGTGTACATGCTGTTGGCTGAGGTCCATGGACAAGTGTATATTGTTCAGTTTCTACACCGTCATGCATAGGAAATCGAACCTCACGTCTACTACTAGGTGTTGATCTTTGCTTTGTACTATTTTTATCCTTGATTGGCTCAAATGACGATGTAGCAAGCGTGTGACACAAACTAATTCGACATTTGGTGAAGAATTCTTTCCTGGTGTCACAGACTTCCAGGTCCGATTCCGAATACTATAGAACTGACTAAAAATAGGGAGAATGACCAATCAGCCCAGATGAGAATTTTATAGCCCCAAAGTACAGGGGGAACGAATTCACGATCAGGATGTGGTTTATAGGGGGGAGAGGGTACTAGTAGGGGGGGTGCTGGAATTCAGAATTCTGCATCGTATATCCTATTTGTCCGTTAAAAATATTAATAAACAGCACTACTGATGGTTTTCAGTTTTCATGGACATGCCAAATGCTAATTGGCTTTCGGTATTTAAGTATTTACAGCATGAGATTCTGCTTCTTTCAAGTCAGCTAGACGGCAGACGCTTATCTAAAATTGATCATAACTTTTCACTATTTTTCTTAAATTCATCATAACTTTTCAAAATCATATCAATGAGTTTTTATTTTCCAAAGTTCATCTTTCATTAAATTACTGTTGATATTTACTAACAAAAGTTGTTTACGTCAGCATAAATACAATTATCATGATCAAATTACCCTTAACTAGCGAATTAGAGAAAAAAAGGTTTATTTAGGGTTTCTCTCTCCAGCAGGCATCGACTGTAATAATCGCGGGAACTGGCCGATCAGTAGCTCTGGTAATATATCTCGGCAAAGGATTTCAGTGTTTTTTCTTCAAAGAACAAGAAGCGTTCGAATGGCTCAGGAGTACTGAAACCCAAAATTTCTAGACCTTGCAAGACCATCTGGAACCTTAAAGATTCCCCAAAGTCTGAAAATCCCGTTCCATTAGGAACTGGCAAATCTGGTTGGCTCAATCTCCCATGGAGAAACCTTATTATGCCGTTTTGTCTCAAGATCATCATTCCACCTCACCAATAGGCATCTCCATTTTGAGCCAAGCCATCTAACAGGATCCATATCATTAATCCCAGTTACCAGACAAGTGTATCTTCGCTCTGCTGCATCTTCAGTTTCAAACCTCATTTTGAACTTCATTCCAATAGAAAATGGTTGATTAACAAATGTTATATCTTCGCTCTGTTGCATCCCAGTTACCAGACCTCATTTTGAACTTCATTTCAAACCTCTAAGAAAGGGGACAACATCCCCAGAGACTAGCTTCTTGTTATTGACAAATGCACTCCATCCAGTTGCAAGCAAATGTCTCCGTGGCTGACCCCTGTAAATGTGCCGAAACTTCCACTCTACACCATGTAAATCTTTTGCTACAAGCTCTTGGTATGATCTTTGTTGCTTATAATCCAGAGGGGCGAAGCAGTCTTCGGCGGCTCGTCGAGGAACGGAGAACCCTCCATGAGTGCTCGTATCAGAAGCAGTGAGGGTTTTTCAGAACATGTAAGGTGTTGTCAGCTTGGCTGAAGCTTCAATTTCCTCGTGTTCACCATCAGCTTTCATATCTCCTCTCAGCAATTTCTGCTCAATCTCAGTTTCAGGAAGCAGGGAGACCTGTACGTAAACTTCATCCATGGCAACTTCCGCATGAAGCTTGACGTCGATGACGCGGAAGAACACGAGGCAGAAGATTATAAACCGTCGCTGGAAATTCCGAAATATGCTCCAAGTGCCCCTGCGGAAAGTAAACAACAGCACTTCCTTTCTTTCGCAACGATATAACCAGCCCCGCACAAGCATGCCGGAGCTCCAAACAGACACCTGCCGCTGATGTGGAAAACACCAACGATGAAGAAGAAGGCGACGAGAGTGAAGCAAGTCCGCTCTCGACCACCACCGTCGAAGCGGCGTCCTCGTCGTCGGTGACGGAGATGAGATCAATAACACCCCCCATGAAACCAGAAGCCCTAGAATTCAAATTTGAGCAAGCAAAAAAGCAACGGAACAATAGTAGTGGTGGTGGTGGTGGGTTGTGGGGAAGGTGATGGATAAGCAATGGTGTCAGCATCTGCATCTGCATTGCACCCAGACCTTGAGAGGCCGCTGCTTAACCTGCGCAATTGCCGCTTGAGCAAGGAAAGTTCTCTGATTTGGATAAGCAGCAATTGCTGCTTGAGCAATCTAAATTCTCTAGGTATTCAAAGTTTTAGGTGTAATTTCTGTTTTTATCATATATTTTATAATTTTGTATGAAAGATAAAATGGTAAGATATTAACAACTGTTAGTTTTAAGCGTTTGGAAAAGTTATGGTAAATTTAAGAGAAACAATTAAGTCATGATAATGAATTTTAAACAACTTCCCATAAAAGTAATATTGTCACGAGGTACGAGGTGGGTTCCACACTTGGGGCTTGCTGCCAATCAATGAAGTTACTTAAATGCTCCACTACGCTAGTCTACAAAGGTACCAACTACTTTGTTACATCTGCATGTTTGTCCATGTATTGCCATGTGAACGCCTCACCTCCACAAGTTCTCATATTATCTACTTTGTAGTTGTAGACTCCTTGACTCTGCGAAATCCGCTCATAGATGATGTCATTTTTGTAACAACTTCTGCAAATTATCGAGTTTTTTTTTTTTTTAATTTAGTAATGTGAGTCCATTTAATCCTTTTAGTGTATGTTTGGTTTCCCTTTGTAGTTTTGAGACCACATGGAAAACCCACTATGAGAAGTTTTCATTGGAATGAGATGAAGTCGATGTTGTGGGTCCGGCGGTGACAGAGAAGTGAATGAGAAAGCTTTTGATCCTAAGGCCTACCATGCAATCATGCATGAGAAAGCTTTGATGTGGGTCTCCAAAACATCAAGTAGTTTGCTAACAACTTATATGGGCATGGGCTCCGAGTCATGATTCAATATGGACAAAAGGTTACGTGGGTATTAGAATTGATATAATGTGTAATTGTGTAAATGTGGTTGGGTTGCGTCATAAAGGATGGACAAGCCCTGAACCCTTAATTAACTTCCATCTACCTGAATAAAATAATATAATTCATGAATCGACTTGTACAGAAATGAAAACCTACTAATAATGATTATTGCTTATAAATTATAATAATATCAATAAAAAATTAATTATTACGCATGCAACATAAGAAAATAATGCGTTGCGTTTTGCGAACCATTAATTTGTTGAAAGATAGCGCTCAGCTCAAAGTTGATTTATTTATGTTGCCATTTGTTAACTGCCACTTGACTAGTGGGATGTAACGTTTTTCTTTTTTTTTTTTTACTTAAAAGCATTTCTATGAACCAAGTAACCAACCAAAGAAGTCATTACTCACTACTAAATTATTCATCCCACACATATTCCAACCTATCTTTACCATTCTCTTTATTATCGACTTATCATCCATTGCGTCGATTGCAACTCCCTAACCATTGAGCTTTTACCTTTTACTTCTCACTAGTGTGGAGTGTGGAGTGTGGACGGACGTACGGTTGATTAGTTTTTGTTGGATAAAAATTGGGCCGACCTCTTTTGGACCACACATCAAGCCAGATTTACAAGGAAGGTGGGGGATCCATCATCCATGCCGAAGACAGCTCGTGGGTCTCTCTAAGAAAAGGCGTTATAAGCCTTTGATGTCTATCTACAATTCATTAATTTGTCCTGCATGGACCATGGTTGATGGTTATCTAAGAAGTGAAAAATTCACCAAGAATTAGAAAAAATAGGTGGCAATTGACGCAGACGGCAGACCCACGCCCAGACAGTCCGTCCTGGTGTTATTAATAAATAAATATATACAATAACTGGACTGGAGTGAAATCTGTGTCAAGTGTTAATTATATTACATTAGTCTAATTTCGAAGAGCTTTTATTCTAATCACAATTCCATTCTCATTACTCCCAAGCCAGCCAGCCAGCCAGCCAGCCAATAGAATAGACTCCACCACCACCATATGTTTCTGAAACTGTCCCATTATCCATCTCCCTCTAATCAAACCAATGAAACCAATCCCGATGTCACTTCACACAAGGAATCTCCACATCATCAATTTGCTACGTGTCGTCATATATTGCATTTTCAGAGGATTCAATCAACGCCAAGGAAAAGTGACGTGGGTGCACGGCTCGGATTATCGCCAAGTTTTAGCACACCGTCATCTCTCTCTCTCCCTCTCTCTCCTACGCATACATACAAACAGGCAGAGCACACGAGAAGCAGAGAGAAGGGGATCCTCTCGCTCCGGACTCTGGCGACATCCATTCCTCTCTACTATACCTTCTCTCTCAGAGAAACGTGCTCTGCCAAGTTGAGAAAGTAGCCCACAGAAGATAACCCCCTCCCGCCATGGAAGAAGAGATACTGTCTTACATGTCTTCTTCACTTCGCAAGAACATCTCATCTTCCTCCACGATCCGATTCCTCGGCTTGCTAAAACAACCAGATTCCAATTCTAACCCCTTCGAGTTGGACGAGAGTGACGTGGTTTGGTCCTCCCAACTCTCTGATTCTCCCTCTCCCAAGGACGAATCCCTTGGTTCCACTTCTCCGGTTCCGTCGACGGTATCGAATTCTCCCAACAATCAGCGTAACCCTTTCCGTCCACGGAGATTCGGTCTCTCCGCCGCATTATCCGATGATCACCGCCCTCTCATTCAGCGAAAACCAGCGTTGGACCCTTCGCTATCCGCGGCCAGTGCGGCACGTACAATCCCACCCGTGTCGATTCCCAGGTCAGGTTCCAGCTCCGAGGTGTTGGCCGGGTCGTCTTCTGGGAAATTCCATCAGTCGGCCCCAGTCAATGTGCCGGTCTGGCCCAAGGGAAGTGGCTCCCATGGATCTGCTAAATTGGGGTATTTCGAGGAGGACGACGAAGACAAGGAGGACGAGATGCTCCCGCCACATGAGATCGTTGCCAGGTCGCATCGCACGACCTTCTCGGTGTTTGAGGGTGCCGGACGGACGCTTAAGGGGAGGGATCTGCGCCGTGTCCGAAATGACGTTTGGCAGAGGACAGGTTTTCTAGACTGAAATCTCAGTAACTCGTTTTCTACTCCTTTTATTTGTTTATTTGTTTTATTCATATTTCCTGCCATAATTGTACTCTCCTCAGTCCTCGCCAACATGAAACTGTAATATTCTACTCTCTCTGTTTGTCTGTCTTTCTCTCTTTCTTTTATTTCATAGCTTGCAGTCTTTGTCGTCATTTGCCTTGACTATATCAGCTAATCAGCTCAGTTATGGCTACTAGACAACCATAAACCATGATTTTTATTTGATCTTAGCTTGTATTATTGAACCAGAAATTTGAAGATAAATTGGTTTAACTCCTTCCGAACAAAACAAGAAGCGAATCAATATGGTCTCTTGCTGATGGTGTTGTAGTTTCATTTTTTTTTTTTTTTTGTATATCTGATATTTATGATGGAATTGTTAGGCTAGGAAAAGCAAAGCAACATTTTCAATAGTACTTCCCCCAGAGATCCTTTTGAAATTCATCTTTTAAATTTTAATGGGAAGCACATGATGAGCAGTTTAAAATATGCAGTTGCCCTTTTATTTTGACTATACTATATGTCTTTGCAGTTCGCATATTTGATATTCCTGTGCAGTTCAATATACTCATTAACTTCAAGTCCTGCTCTTTCTTCTAGTTCTAGTTGGTACAGTCTATCTATTCTAGACCATAAAAACATGGCTACCATAGCTAGAGTAAGATGTATAAGCTGAAGAATGAGATCCCAAGCTTAGATGCAGGGTGCTCAATATACTTGCATCAAGGTAAGATATTTCGTCACCAGTCTTCTTTCTAATCCTTTCTTCTGTCTAGCATGAAGTAGATTCAAGTTCATTTGACCTGGCATTTCCTTTGTTAGTTACACTAGACAAGAGGTTGGAGTTGGACCCATTCTTCTTTATACCCATCAGTTGCCAACCCTCTCCACTTTCTAGCTTACATGTTTGAACATTGAGAATGGTTTCATGTTTTCAAGTTGAAAACAATGTAATGAACAATTCCAAGGTTTCAGATGACTCTGACCACATGCTTTCATGGGAAAACAGGAAAAGCAGTTAGGGAGTCTCCATTGACGTCTTTGAGTTTTATCTCACCTTGGTTAGGGTTCAAAATGTTAACCATTTAATTTGGAGCCAAGTATCTTCCGCTTACATGTCCTGCCCTACCTCATGTCTTTATTCCCACACGTTGATTTTCATCAGAGTCAGACAGATTGTAAGTATGAAGCAAATATATATATTGTAAGTATGTGATCGAAAACATGGACAAACTCCTAATTTTCATTCTCTGACATATAGGACCATATGTATACTTTTTGAGTTCCAAAATTATGTTCCTGGAACCTTCTTTCCGATACACAATGCATTTTCAACTTGATGGCTTTCTAGGAATTTACCATTTTCCGCATTAAATTCCCAGCCAACACCTTGTTTGTAGAAGAAATCAAGCCAATTATTTGTCTTTGAAAGTTCATATTGGTAACCCAGAGACAAAATTGGGTAATGAATATAAATTGCATAAAGAAAAAAGGAAACTAAACTCGAATTTAATTGCATGACACAGATTTTCTGAACCCAGGACACCATGGGTATTCTATTGGATTTTTCATTGGAATGTATACACAGACCTAAAAGTAGGTTCTCTCTAAGACCATGCCATTGTAAGCTAAGCTCAAGGATTAACACTGAATATGTTCTTGATATGGTTATTTACTTTATCTATCCTTTGTTTTTCTTTCCTGTTCTTATTTGGGTGGGATGAGGGGTATTCTATCTTTGGTTTCATTGCATGTTGATATTTGGTCGAACATTAGAGTACGTTTTCTAAAACTGATATACTGAAAGGACAGCAATTGATGCATGGATTTTTTTCAGAATTTAACCTGTATGGAAAGCCTGGAAGGTAGCAAGAAGAATTGGGCAACAGGGTACAAACTCACAAACCCTAGTCTTTTAGCAAGGTGGATACAAAAGGAGAAAATACAAAGACAATTTGTTGTTGCCAAAGAATTAACCACTTGCGCTGAATTTTACAGTGAGATTTTCTCATAGTTGTATCTAGAAACAGAACAACAGATAAGAGGAGGAAAATTACGTTTACGTTTGCTTGAAATGGTTAGAACTATACATATGTTTATTTTCCGCAACATTTTCTCTTTGGTGCAAAGCTCCAACTTTTGAAATTCAAACAACATTTTCAAAAATGTTCTTTGTGGCAAGTCTTTGCCATATTTTTTCCCTTTTTTTCCATGGGGGGAAGGGGGGAAGGAAGTATATGATATGTTACAATGGGAACGAGTTCAGGTTGTAGCTTTACATGGCTCAAGGCCATTTTGTGAACTCAAATACCTTAAAGACGATATCGATCCCAGTTGGAATCTGCCAAATGAAGAGCAAAACATTCAGAGCATTCAGGGCAATATGGAGATTCCTTGCTGTTTCATTCCCTTTTTGCATTGCAGGAACAAGCGCAGCTGCTACTGCCCATAACACAGTAATTCCTGTTCCAACATCACAGTACCAACCAAAAAAAAAAGCCGAATACAGTGAGAAAACGAGCAATTGAATATATAAATAGAAAATGCAAGAAAGAGTTGTTCAGTACTTCCAATAAGCTCATTAGTTTTGCGTTACCCGGGGCTGAAACAACTAAATCAAAGTTTTTGATTGGTTATTATGGCCTCATATCTTTTGATCGGTGTCGTAGCCAAAAAAAAAATAGAGGTTGGGCAGGGCAAGACCAAGAATGATTAAAAAGAAAAAGTAGTGCAATTCCGTTTCGTTCCGTTTTTACCTGCTCCAGCAAATAAATGAGGCCCTGGAAATAGCTTTCCCGTTCGGAACCAGGTGTTTAATCCTCCACCAACGGATTCCAACACTCCAAATCCTAACAGTATTGAACCTGCATTGAAGTGCCGATCCCTAAACGACCCTTTCAGCAACTCCTTCCTTTCCTGCATTGACCCTCTGGGACGTCAATATTTATAAAATTGGTCCTCCCAACACTTCAGCAAGCATTGTTGTAAGGACAAACTAGTATCTTGTTTGTAACAGTAAGAAAAATAAAACATGCTGTATTGTTGTTTGTCCAAATGTGAAGACCCTTCCGATGAAAATGATTCAGATTTCAGGCAATGTTCTCTAGTCCCAAAATCTTGCCCCCAACAATAGCCATTTGCAGCCATAAACATCTCCCCTGTCCTTCATGGCCAGGTGTTTCCGATGTACAGCTGCTATGGCTGTTGGTACCAGATCCGGACGGATCAGACTCCTTGCGTGGTATGTATCAAGGAGGATGAGGAATTAATCAATGTCCCAGTACTCCATTTCTACAAACAATTGACATTGTCAGATCTTCCCAAGAATTGCCCGTTTCGTACCTCAGTGAGCTGTTTAATCTTAACCTCTACTGGCGACATCGACGCCGTCGCCTCCGCTGATGGGGTCCCTTCTGCTGCCGCGGCGGGGGCAGGCTTAACCTGCTTCTTAAGTTCGTTGATCTCATTCTGGATCGTCCGTACGCGTCGCCATTGCCAACCCAGATACCCAGCCCACAGGGTGTAGAAGAACAATCCACCCATCACGATGGGATGGATGAGCGCAAATGTTCGACCTTCCAACAACCCGAACTCCCCACCAGCAGCCAGTGCATCCTGTTTGATCGTCCAAATAACGCAGGTTTATGAAAGCAGATTAGTTTAATTGCTTAAAGTAATTAAAGAAATTCGAAGCTATACTCCTGAAAAATGCCCATTAGAGAGAGAGAGAGAGAGAGAGAGCCAAAGAATGGAAAGGTTGAGTTGACTTACCTCTGGATGTAGGAAGAATGGCAATGCTAAAGCTGTAAGTGAGAGAGAAGATGATTTCAATTGGTGGATAGTATGTTGAAGCGGTTTGAGAAGTTGTGGGAGGTGGTCAGAGTGTTTGGAGAGAAGGATCTTAGTTGGTTTGGAGTGATTTTGGAGGTTTTGGAGAGATCTATGGGAGAGAGCGGGGAAATTGAGAAGACAGAGCGTAGTCGCCATGATCCCCTGTTGTGTCGCCTTGACAGCGTAGAATAGGTGAGGAAGGTGGGACTGGAAGAAGAGATGGCGAGGAAATAAAAGATAAGAGAGAGGTGTAGGTTTTTCTTTGATAGGCGGAGAGAGATCTCATCATCTAAAGCTGTGGGATAATCTGGACTTGGTTTTCTTTCGGCTTCCCTGGACCGAGTCGTGAGTCGTGACCAGCCCCGTCCCCGTCCCTACATATTGGCTTGATGTATATCACTTTGGCGGTCACTGAAAAGATACAAGTATACAACCCACGAGAGAAACATAAGAGAAATTCCATATTTCCATTCCGTGGTGCGAGAAATGACTGAGGACACAATACAGCCAAGTGTTTTTATTAGTTGTACCTACACACATGGTTTAGTTGTGGCCTTAGTTTCTCACCCAACCCATCCACACCCGAATCCACCGGGTAGAAAATGGGCAGATTTAAATGTTTGGATTGGGTTCATATTAGAGGTATAATAACATAATGTTTGGAATTGGATTGCAGTAAAAAAATTTACGATGTTAATATAAATAATATATTATATTATTTACATAATATATTATATATAATTATATAAATGATAATATATAAAATTTATATTCGATTTGTTAATAACTTTTCCAATTCAATCCGATTTGTTAAGATAAAGGGAGGAATCCAAATTTAATTCTAAATGATCGAATTGGATTCGAATAAGGTCTAATTCAACTTATTTGCCGCCCCAAATGAGTTCAGATTGGCACCCCCAGTGTATGCCCCACATGCATATTTTAATATGCATTGAAAACATTTCCCGTACTTATCATGGGAGATGATGATCTCACTAAATGGTTGGGATGTGTTATGGGAACTTTGTGGGACACCGATGGCAGAGCGACATGGGAGTCAGAACCCAAAAATGGTATGATCTTTTAGCTTGTGCAGAAGTTGGTTGTCGCTGGTCGATTCCAGTCACTAGAATCTCACCATACTCGCAACCTGTTTTGTTTCCTTATTCCCTTCCTTTTACTGGGTTTTCTATAATGTGGTTGAGAAATTGGATGATGTGTCCAGATCACCTAACAATAAAACACGTTCCAACTCTCTACCAGCATCATCTCAAACCATACATCTTATATATGGTGGGTCCCCATCTCATGGTAAGATGTGAAGTGTGAGATCATATTGGTAGAGGGTTGGAACGTGTTTTGTTGGCAGAAGAACCTAACTTGGTGTGTTGCAGAATAGGTGTTATGCACTATGATTAAAATTTGGTAGCCTGAACCACACCACACCTACTACATAAAGGTGTTGTGTGGTTCGGGCCACACCCTATTTTTTGATTACGTGTATCTCATATACACAATGTGAGGTAATCTATGTCGTCGATCAAGAACAATATTTTTTTGGTGTTTTTAAGCAAAATGCAAATCAGTAATTTGAATTAATTTAACATGTGATAAAAAATAGAGAAATTTCTCAATCAGTACCATGTACTTTGGCTCGAATGACAATGGTCCCCAAACTTTAAAATGCAACAATCCAATATCCGAACTTTCAATTTGTGGTACCTAGCATTAAATCACCGTCAGTTAGGGCCATCATGTGAGATCAGGAGCTGTTTAAATAATTTTATAATGCCAAAACTAACCCTTATGATAATATTCAGACCATTTTACCTTTTTCCTTTCTTTTTACCCTATTCCCCTTTCTCTTCAATCTGGCATTAACCAACTGTTTCGGCAATTTCAAGCATTCTTGCTTTGCACATTCCATGTATTAGGCAGTTGTATATTCAAATGTATTACACTCGAGAGTTTTAAACAATTTCATTGTCGTAAAGAGTTTAATAACTATTTGGGTTATGGTCAAGCTAGCCCCGAGTGCCACGTGGTGCCTTCTTGGCCATCTTATCTCTTCGGCTATGTCAGCACCACATAGGACGGATAAGTGCAATCAAGAAGAGGAGCCTCATACGAATAAGGAGGACAGCTCCGCTAGGAATTATGATTTATCCCGAAGACCTCAGTGGACAACCTCATCCCAACAACCCCGGGAGCCTCATCAGAATCGGAAATGGATCTTTGGTTATAAATAGGTAACCCTGCTCAAGGTAAGGGACTTTTGACTCTTCAGACCCCGTACTATTATTCTGCTTCTACTTGGCCCGACCACCCATCTCTTCCATTACTGACTTGAGCGTCGGTGTACCTACCTGGGGAACAACTCCTCTGGCCTCTAATCTCTTTCTTGGTTTCAAATCTTGTTGTGTGACTTTGTCCTTTACCTTGGCTTCGCTAGTTGGCAAGACTATCTGACTGCAATCTTGGTTCGTGACACCTCGGATGGGACAACATTAGATTGGCACCGTCTATGGGAAGCGTATGAAAGGTCATTCCCAAAACTCTCTCCGAGCAATCAAGAACCATGCCAAGAAACACATCCAATCACTCCGCAGCCCGATACCCATCTCGGGGATCTCATTCCCATCGCAACTCTCCACCTCGGGAGCCACAATAGCAAGCCACTGTCGACCTTGCGCAGTTCCAGGCGATGCAGCAAAAGGTCGATCAGATTCTTGCCATGATGCAAACACTAGGACAACTAGCACAGGCACCCCAAACCGTTCCCCCTATCGTACAATGGTTGATTCTCGCCCCAAGGACCCCAAAAAGCACCACGCTAACAGGTACAGGGGTCAGTCAGATCAAGAAAATCAACAATCATCGAAAAGGTCAGACTCCCCAATCCGATCTCGTGCACGCGATTACTGCAGCAAATCACACCACTCTGCTCGAGTTCTAGCGAAAGAAAGGCTCAGCCACCGCCCACAACAGCAACCGATCTCAATTGCTAAATCCAGTTCGGTTAGGGACTATCCTGCGATACCGAAAGGAGAGAAGCCTACGAGCATAGCCCCGGTCGACAAAGATGCGAAGATCAAGGAACTCAAAGAACGCTTGGCCGAATTGGAACACAGGCAAGCTGATAGAAGCATGGCTTCTCCAACGGCCCAGCCCTCGGAACCTCATAACCAGTTAGCCAAAGAATAAGACAAATTCCCTCTGACCAGTTGGCGACCTCTGCAGTTCAAGAAATACGACGGAGCTACAAACCCCAACGACCACGTGAAAAGTTTTCAAAGCCCTTATGATGCTACACGGATCGTCCAAGTGGTTGATGTGCAAAGCCTCCGTCGCCACCCTCAAAGGAGTTGCCCGGACCTATTATGCTTCCCTTCCCCCGTGCTCCATCTCTTATTGGGAGTAGCTGGAGAGCCAATTCTTTGCACAATTCATAGCCAAACAGCGACATTAGAAAACTTCGACCAGCCTCATGCAAGTGCGGCAGAGGAAGGGAGAATCCCTCAGAAAGTACTTGGCGAGGTTTAACGTCGAAGCCCTATAAGTCTGCGCCCTGAACTAGTTCGTAGCAGTCACGGCCATCATGCAAGGCTTGCATTCCTCTACGTTCAGCTTCTCACTATCGAATAACCCCCTCCAAATTTGGTTGCGTTGATGAAGCATGCTCAGAAGTACATGAATGCCGAGGAGGACCAAACGCAGTAGAAGAATGAGGAGTAGCATGATCGAAAGAGAAGAGACCACGACGAGCGCAAGCCAAAACGAGAAAGCAAGAGACCGGACCGGAGATCCAACTAAAAGCCGAGGACCCCACCCCCAACGTACAAGAACTTCACACCCCTGAATGCACCTCATACGAGATATTGATGCAGATCCATGACCAAAGCTGCGCCAGATGGCCCGAGAAAATGAAATCCCAGAACAACAAAAGAAGTCGAGACTAGTATTATGACTTCCACTGAGACCACGGTAACAAGACCTCATCAGATGCAAGTACCTCGGCGGGTTTGTGGACATCAAGGAGCATAAGCCAAAGGAGGAAGCACGTCGGCCTAACAGACCTCCAACTTGAGCTCCCTCAGCTAGAGTCATTGTAGTGATTTCCGGCAGAATGGCATCTGGTGGGGAAAGCAGCTTGGTCCGCAAGGCATACGCACTACACCAAGTTGAGGACAGGGAGCAGAAGAGATGGCAGTAGGATGATTCGATCACCTTCACCGAGGATGACCATAGGGGGGTTCGGACCCCGCACGACGATGCCCTTGTGATAACCGCCAAGATAGTTAACTTCGAAGTTCAGTGCATCTTGGTGGACACAAGAAGCTCCGCTGACATACTCTTCAAGGAAGCCTTCGAACAACTCGGCATCAGTAGGGACCGCCTCACCCTAGTCAACACTCCCTTGGTCGACTTTTCTAGAGACTCTCTTATGCCGCAAAGAAAGATCACCCTGCCCCTACTAACCGGAGACGGCGACATCACCACAACAGCGATGGTTGACTTCATCATTGTTCGAGTCCTCTCTCCATACAACGCCATCCTGGGCCAACTGACCTTGAATGCTCTGTGGGCCTCGGTTTTCACGTACCATCTGGTCGTCAAATTTCCAACCCAATACAAGATAGGTGTAGTCTGCGGAAACCAGAGAACTACATGGCAATGTTACCTAACGGTCTATTGAGGAAGGCCTCACGCTACCAAGACCCTTAGCATGGAGAATATGGATCTAAGGGACGAGTTGACACAGCACGGCCAGGTCGTCAAAGACCTCATCCAGTTACCACTCTCTGACAAAGACCCCAAAAACATTGTCTTCGGGAAGATATCATTTGGTTGCTGAAGGACAACGCTGATGTGTTTGCTTGGTCAGCAGGAGACATGTCGGGGATTGACCCCAAGGTCATCACCACCGCAACACCGACCCATCAAGTAGAAGAAGAGGAGCTTCACCTCTAAACGGTTGCAGGTGATCAATGAAGAGGTGTAGAAACTGCTCGACACCGGTTTCATCCAAGAAGTGGAATATTTGGATTAGTCGGCGAACATTGTAATGGCAAAAAAAAAACAACGGGAAATGGCAAATCCGCACCGACTTCACCGATCTGAACAGGGCTTGTATAAAGGATAGCTTTCCCCTATCGAGGATCGACTAGCTCATCGACGCAACGGCAGGGCATAAACTCTTGAGCTTCATGGACACGTTCTCTGGCTACAACCAGATCTAGATGCATCCAAACGATCGGGAGAAGACTACTTTCATCACCAACCAAGGATTACACTGCTACAAAGTGATGCCCTTCGGTCTAAAGAATGCTAGAGCTACCTATCAGTGGCTAGTGAACCAAGTACTCAA